CTTTGCATGCTAGTGGCTGTACTGCCTTGCTTGGGGCGATACCAGTTAAAAAAAAACTTCCCCAAATTGGTAGATTATATCAATAAAGCAGACATTAAACAATTTTTTTATCAAAATATAAAAAATTAGAAGTAGTTGATATGCACCAACCTCCATAACTTGAAAGTGGTTAGATTATAATTAAAAGTAACTATTACTAAAGATATTAATCTCTTTATTTTGTGTTGTCTATTGCCATGCTGTATACATAGCCTAATGGTTATTGGAAGGGGCGCTGGTGAAAAGGTCTTGTGCATTCTCCTGAATCTATAATATGCTCCTCACCACTTTACTATATCTTAATTTTAATATTTTTCTGAAATTCTGCCATAACCTTGTAAGTGTTAATTGGGTAGTTGCAGCTTGTGTTGTTAATTGGGTAGTTGCAGCTTGTGTTGTTAAATGGGTAGTTGCAGCTTGTGTTGTTAAACGGGTAGTTGGTGTTTGTGTTATTAATTGGGTAATTGCAGCTTGTGTTGTCAAAGGTCCTACATCATTTTGAAACAAAGTTCTTTTTGTCACTTGCCGCTTGTCAAATTAGTTTCAAATGAAAGAGAAAGGTATATTGCTGGCAGGGCACAGGAGACTAATGTTGTTTTTAACATGTGAAAATAAAAATTCATGGATTTGGACAAAATAAGACCCCAGAATAACATCAAAATCCACAAAAATCTGTCATTCTTTTATAGTCTGTTGTGCTTAGTTTAATTTGTAACATATATAAAAATGGTAAAAAGAAGCAAATGTTAATAAGATAGCAAAGATCACAAATTATGGCCTAGGGTCCCAATCACCTTGTATACACACACACACACACACACACACACACACACAGACACACACAGACACACACAGACACACATATATATATATATATATACACCACACACACATATATATATACACACACAAAGTGTTGTTGGGTAGCAAATCTACTCTGTCTTTCTCATTTAGACAAAGAACACTGTTTTTTACTGTTTAGGTTAGTGTCTGTCTTTGATTTCTTCTCAGTTTATGTTTTTTGTTTTTGATTTATTGGTTTTGGTTTTTATTTTTATTTTCTTTTGGCAAAGTTTGTGCTGGTTTTGCTAAACTTTAGTTTTTATATATATATATATATATATATATATATATATATATATATATATATATATATATATATACCAACAAGGGGTAAGCAAAGCAGTTGTGTAAGAAAGATGATAGACATGCTAGTTGAAAAAGAAACAAAATCTTCTTAACATGCACATTGTGAGTTTGTAAATGAATGATACAACAAGGACAAAGTGAGATGGTAATGGGTCAAAAGTTACTTAGAGAAACCAAAGAAAGGAAGTTGTAGAAAGTCAAAATCACCTTCATTCTGAAGTGATTTGGCATATAAAAGGAGAAATCTCCTAATGCAAATTGTCAAGATTCTTCTTCAAATTGAATGACAAATTTCAATAAATGTGGACTTATATCTCATTCCATGAAGGTCCCTCAAAAAGATCAAAGGTCGTAGTCTCCATCTTGAAGCAATACGAATAAGAATGACAAATTGAAGAAAGAATTAATGGGTTGGAATTGATGCGTTATTCATAATAAAAGGTAACACGCTGAGAAATGCAGATTTCATAGCAGGAAAATGAGTGAGAAAAATAAATATTGAAAAGGGATGACAGTTGAAGATTGTTATTGGTTGAAAGAGTGACAGTATGTCACAGGGTTAGTTACACTTTGGGGATTGAATTGAAGGATGTAATAAGCTTAAAAGTGTTAAAGATGTGAGAGTATTGATTAATCGGCTCAGATCCAAGGAAGAAAGAAGGAAGATAATCATTTATCAATCAATCCAATGAGTATTTGAGTGAGAGGGGTTGGTAGTTCAAGTGCAAGCAGGGATTTATAAGATGATATTAGATTTCATAAGCAGAATCTTAATAAATCTAATATAATAGTGACAGATGCATGCATATATGTATATGTTAGCATACAAACTGATAGAAAGTATGAAAGTGTGTATAATATTTAATATGATTACACACATGGAAAGAGAGAGTGTTGCAATATGTTTACACATCTGTCTATATTTCAGAGAGATGATTATTTACATTATTTACATTGTTTGGCTATTGTCCTCATCTTTGTTGTCATATTCACAATGTTTTGGCCGGTGATATATTTTGGAATTTTGAACTTATCCCTTTATTTTGTCTACTGGGGTAGAGTGTTCTAGCCACGCCCTTTCTGGATATCTCATTTATCTCCCTTTAGTAACTCTACTCTCCAAGTTTTGTTCCCCTGCTGCGACCAGGTATTGAACTCACAACTGTTTAGGTCAAGTCACTGGATTACTTCAAACAATGCATTTCTCCACTTGGCCACGTGTCACATATTCACTGAAATCAACTGAAATATCATATACTGTAAAACCATTCACAAATTTTAGCAGATAACATTATTATAATTAATTACGGACATTGATTTTTTGGGGAGTTGTGGATAATCTAACGGTTATCAGTATGGGAATATAATTTGGTACACTGGGTTCAATCACTGCTTGATTCTGTTTTGTTCACTTTATGCTAATGCCCTAGGAAAAGGTATGAATTCATCTTCCTCCTTATTGGTTAAATAGCAAAGTAGACTATGCTCTCTTGCTTTGATACAGTAAATCAGTGTAAGAGAAAAAAAACTCTGAATTTAAAAGCAGCCTGAAGATAAATGACGTTGTCAGGCTGTCAGGCCTCAGACACACTTCAAATTCTATGGCTGCTGTACAGGTGGTCCAGTTTTGACTCTAATTGGTTATGGACTTGTGACATGATATGGCTTTGATTTATTTAAAAAAAATGTCCTTCATTTTGTTAAAAATGACCATGGTATATGAAACAATTGCACTATGGAGAAAAACTAAAGTAAGTGCTGGCAATGTATATTAGTATCATTATTTATAGTTTAATAAATTTAATTTTATTTACCTAAATCAAATGTAAGTAATTTTATATAGCTAAATCTAATGATAAACCTAAATATAGATATAAGGGTTCAACTATCCCAAGTAGTAGGAAACATATTTAATAAGAATTTGTATAATTCTTACTTGATAGTAGGTGCTTGCATTATCAGTTTTTATAGAGTGATGATTTTTTGCATAAATTAATTTGTGATATTGTTCTCAGCCAAAATTTTTCAAATTATATGTCAATAAGCAGTGTGCGATGGATGAATTGTCCTCTAAATTATGCAAAAATGAAAATAACACTGACATTTCATTTTAACAGATATATTTACCAAAATTACAGAAAAATATCTTGAAATACTAAAGAATAAAATTATTCAATAAAATCACCATTGGCTTCAACCACAGTTTCCAGATTCTTCAGAATCTCCTGCAACTCTTCTGGATGGTCTCTTTATTTAAGTTGGTGGATGCTGTCATAATCCTTGCCTTCAGTTCACCTTTGGCATGACAAGGAGTTTTGTTGGTCCCTCGCTCAACTGTGCCCCACACATAATAATTAAGGGGGTTGTAATCTGGGGAGTTAGTTGGCCAGATGTAAGGGGTGCAAAAATTATTTGACAGCCATGACAGCATTCTCCTGCTTGTGTGGAATAATGCAGAGGCCTGTTGCCTGACATAGGGTTTTCCAGCAGCCACCCTCTTGGCCCAAACCCTGTAGGAAGATGAAGCATAATGTTGCCATCACTAGTGATCACTCCAAATACCTTCATAATCCCCACTAGACTCATCCAACTCTTTCTGAATCTACTGGACTGTTCTCAGTTTGACACCCAAACATTCTGAAATATTTATATTAGAGAGTCCAGCAAGAATGCCAAGCAGTACAGCATGCCCTTTCCAAATTTCTGGTGGAGTGAGTTGTGTTACGGTGCTCTTTTTCTCACAGGCAGTACCCAACTGACCCTAATATACTGTGCTGTTAACAAAATCAAAAACAATGTGCATATGTAAAATTAAACAGATATAAAATGGCGACAATTTACCCATCGCACCCGTTGTTAGAAATAACAATTTGCCCATTGCCTTCCTTTGTTAGAAAATAATTTACTCATTGCATTCATTGTTTGAAATAAAGTTAACATTGTTTTTATTAAAATACACAGATTTATTTGTGTGACACTTATAAAAGTAAGAAGACAAGATATGTAGACTTCAATGAATGAGATGTAATTTAGGGGTTCACTCTTTTAAAAATTCTGCTCTGTTTATTTTTTTTACTTCCAACATCTGGAGATGAGATTATTTGTATTATTTACATTTAGACTAATATCCTTATCTTTATTGTTATTATCACAACATTTCTGCCATTTTTGAATGCTCACACGTGTCACTTGATCTGGGTAACCTTCATGTAATTTCAAACTGAACCCTTTATTTAATCTATGGGGTTAGAGTGTTCTCATTCCATTTCCTAAGGAAATCTTGTTCTTTGTAGTTATTTAAGTATTATTAATTATACCTTGTCCTTTTTTTGTATTGCCTATTTGTTGCTCACCCTGTTTCCAATGAATCTGAGTCTGTAATAAACAGCTCAGGGATTGCTAGGCCATCAAATTCATGAACTAATAAACCACTGGAATAATCCTGAACTCAGAACTTGGAGCCTTAAACCTAATGTTTTTATTTCTGGCTGCTGATGCTACACCTTAACTCCATTGCTGTCACATCTTATTTCTTAAAACTGCTGCAGTTGAAGCTTTGCTGTTGTTTCTTTTTCTTTTTTATTAACAGTTTTTATGTGGCATTTAAATCTATACTAAGTCTACTGAGGTGGTCATTGTAGAATTAAATATTTAATTATTAAGTTTATAATACTTCACCAGCATTGGCAGATTCATTCAGATATTAAATGATAGATATATATATATAGATATAACTCAAATTTAATGCTCTCATGTATAGTCATTCCACTTTGGACTAAAAGAAATAAATAAGTAGAAAAAGAATTACTTACCTTTCGCATGCACGTAATGTCCAACTGGCAATTATCCATAATGACAACATGAAGACAAGCAAAACAGTTCCTGGACAGATTGTCATGAGTGTCTTCATGACAAAGCGTGTGTCAAAGTTGATCCGATTTAGGGCACCTATACTCCGAGAAGAGGCATCTGTAAAGAGTCTACTGTGTAAAAGCATCACCCGGCAAATCAGATAAAGCCGGAGAAACATTGGTAATGAGAGAATGATGTCCACAGGTACTTGTACAGATTTCTGTTTATTTAACGATGTTGACCACATGAAATAGAAGTCTCCTGGAATAGGATGGATGGCACAGACAACAATCTCTAATAATAACTGCATTCCTCGGCGCCATGATATTGCAATTCTCCAATCTTCCACGCAGTTATCGACAGCAAAAAGCTGGAGAAAATGAAAAAAGAAGGAAATATTAAAGTTAACTGTTCTTTTTTTTAAAGGGGAATAATAAATGTATATAATATTAAATAGAAAATATATATCTTTTTAATCATTTCACTCCAAACAAGGCAATAAAACCACTAAGACACAATGTGTTTCTGAGAGAATAAAAAAAAAACATTATTAAGGAGAGAGAACAATAAAAGAGCAGGAATTAAGAAGACAGAAGATAATGATTATCATTGCATTTAAATTTTTGAAGATCAAAGTTTACTGGAATGCCAGAAGAGAGCTCACAAGTGAGAAGTGCAATAGAAGAAACTGTTAGCATAGAACTTATGGTTGTATCTAGACATTTCAACCGTAAATTGATGAGACCTTGCTGCCAATCTAGTACTGCACTTAAATTCATAAAGTCTAAGTACTATAGAGAAAAATAATGTTTATTTTTGTAAAATACAAAAATTTGGCACAAGGCCAAAAAGGGGGATGGGGGAGGATAGTCTTCATCTGTCTTATAATTAAACTTAGCTAGCCACAATCATTGAATCAAATATATCACAGCTATACAGAAAAACACCACACTCTTACTTACCATTTTTACTACAGTCACTATAATACCTTAGAGTCTATATGAAGTTCTAACTAGTCCCCCTATGTACAATTTGTCTGGTCAGGGGGGATATAAATAACACGTCTTTGTACCACAGGAGAGTTCATCAGAAAAATCACCATTAAAGTATTTATAGTATAGTATTTATAGTATTTATAGTATTTATAGTATTTATAGTATTTATAGTATAGTATTTATAAAGTATTTATAGGCATGTGGAAGCTTCATTACAGTGGTGGGAAATTTATTGAAGCTGAGATGTCAAGTCAGGATGTAATAAAATTGCAGATTCTTTTTTTGCATTTTATCAAGAATCTCTAAATATATAGCAGAAGCACCAAACCAGATGTTGCAGTAATATTCAATGCATATATGTATTAAATATATAAGGCAATTTAGAAAACTTTTATTTTGACATGTTTTGACAATGAATTAGTTTAAGCAGAAAAATCATTGTTGAAACAAGTTAAAAAGTAGTTTTCTAAATTGCCTTATATATTTACTATTCTACTGGATTCTCATTTAAATTTTACTCATAATATTAAATTGTAAATACTGCATATACTCATGTATAATGCAACCTTTGAAAACTTCATTTTGAAGCTAATTTGACTAAAGTAAATAGATATATAGTTTGGTTAATGGTGTAGCCAGGGCCAGGAGTACATATGCTACTTTTATATCTTGTGTATGATGCAACCTCCTTAAAATTAGCTTCAAAACAAGGTCTTTAAAAGTCGCATGATATGTGAGTATATACGATATATAAGACAATTTAGAAAATTCTTTTTTTGACGTGTTCCACTGATCAAACATCATCATCAGAAGGGATTTTATTTTTCCAAATCTATATTAGTGAGATAGAATGGGATTAGTCAGATGAATGTTGTATTTTTTTTTTCTTTAACTGTATCATTTTTAAATTGAATTTTATTATGAGTTTCCTGTGTTTGTTTTATACCTTATATTGTTTCAACACTAGTTTCATAACAACAGGTTATAGGCTGAAAAAGCCTAGTTTTGCATTAAGCACAAGGGATTTGTGATAAATTTTAAAAATGATAGTAAAAAAAATCCAATGTTCATGTGACTAATGTGAATCATGTTCTATCTTGCCAATGTAGATTTGGTTGAAAAATCCATTATTCTGATCACAAGGTTTGATCAGCAAAACATGACAAAATATGTAAGAAATTTCCTTTTTATCTTATATATTTACCATTCTGTCAGATTCTCATCCAGATGTAAATTATAATATTAAATGTTTTGTGGTATGGAATATATATTACTAATATTATATGATGTATAATATTACATCACAATATATAGAAATGTATTTAAGTGAAATTTATCTTGCAAATATATGCCATTATTTACTCAACTTCCTCAAGAATAACTTATGGCTACTTATAACTATCTCAAAAGTTTAAATTTCTTTTATTTATTATCTTATTTTAGGCTTTTGATAGACCCACCACAAAAAATCATATCTGATAACAAATTGTTAAAGGCAGTTCTTGAAATGTTGGACTTGACTGGCTTAAATCTTAGGTGTTTCTTATTGGTCATCTTAGTAGAATTGGATTAATTTTATATCAAAAACTATATCATATTTCTCTATTGTGATGTATTATATTATACTGCGTAACAAAGTTTATAATACAGTCTTGAAGTACATTATATAAAGTTTCATTATATGTAGGTATGTAGTAATAAATAAAATTAAATATTCATTTATCTTATTTCTACTTTGAGTTTCAGAGAGATTACATTCACTCATCAGAGAGATTACATCCACTCATCAGGAGGCTTGAATGTAAAATTTACACTGAAATCTATGGAGGAGTGGAAATAATCTCCTCAAAACTCAGAGTAGGATGAGATAAGTGAAGATTTAATTTTATTTTACACTATAAATATTCTATCACTTGATGGTGAACACTATAATTTACAAAGACTGTTTGCCTTAAAAGCCATATGCTAGAAATACATTTTTGACCATTTTTAGCAAAATACAATCTTTGATTCATGCACACACACACACACACACGCGCACACACACACACACACACACACACACAACTATTTAAAACTAAAAATTTTTCTTTCTTTCTGAGCACTTTAGGCTATACATTTAGCCATTTTCAAGGTTGAAATATATAAATAATTAGACAGTTTTTATATAATTGTTCCTCTGAAATGAAAAAAGTTATAAGATCACATGAGAAATTATATAAAAAACTAGATCAAAACACCTTGTCTGTCGTATTCAATGAAATGTGCATGAAAGAAGGATTGCTGCCTAAATACACAAATATATATATATATATATATATATATATATATATATATATATATATATGATCCTGCTCTGTTGTCTCAGCTTCAGTCAATTTCCTACTATTGTAAGGTTGCCTCTCTGTGCATTTACTATAAATACTTTCACAGTAATTGTTCAGATGAACTCTTTGCTATGGTACTAAAACCTTTAAAATTTAACTGCAATACTAGACTGGTGTTGAGATCTCATCAATTTATAATTGATTTGGTTATAAATTCTATCCTAGCAGTTTCTTTTTTCACACTTCCCACTTCCTTCCATCTCCGTACTTTCCAACTTTAATCTTCAAAAATTTAAACGCAAAGCCAATCACTATCTACTGTCTTCCTGACTGCTCTTTTTGTTCTTGATCTTTAGCATGGTTTTTGTCTCTAATTCTTCCATGCCATTCATCCCTTGTGTCTTAGTGGCTTTTCTCCCTTGCATGGGGTGAACTCAATTAAAAAATATATATATGTTTTAAATTAAATTTCAAGTGGACAGTCATTGACCATGACTTGATTTAAAATATAATAAAGCTCTGCCATTTAATATGGCATAGAGCACATATGTTTCTTGTGTGGAATCATAGCAAACTCTTTTGGGAGCTGCCTACTTTTATTATTGCAATGCTTTCTCATGGGTGACTTTAAGGGTCTGGTATTAATGAGAACTTTTTGCTTAAAGCAGCAGGCTCCTTTAATGTGGTCCCATTGTTCTCCATGACATTGAAGACTTTTTTGTCACACCATTGAACCATTTCTGGTGTTTTTTTTTATTTTTATTAATTATGATATTTACAACTATTTTGATCTTCACTGGACGGGTTACTCCCCCACCCCAGAGAGTTTGTTTGGTATGTGCATGATATGTACCGGATACACTTTTACCATCTTTGGTGTATACGGGATCTTATTTCCACAAATTACAGTTAATGGCTACCTGATGTTTGCATGAAAATGTATGAAACTGGCAGCTGTGGTTGGATACTGCCTAATTGAAATTTGATTTAAACTATAATAAGGCCCTGTTGGTTTCAATACATTACCTAATAATATATATATATATATATATATATATATATATATATATGTGTGTGTGTGTGTGAAAATACCCTGATTGACCTCTTTGAATGTAACTGAGATATTGATACAAATTATTAACCCTTACGCCCCTTTTTATTAAATAATTGCTCTAGCCATTACCATAGTAATTTTAATTTTAATAATGAATATGCTTATAAAACACGTAAATTTCAAGAATTAGTTATTTCAAAAAAAATTTCGCTTGAAGATGGAACAGAGCTTGGTACTTTAATTCAATTAATTATATTGAAGTTTTCAGCTCTTGTTTTGAAACATGAGAACACTTATGTAGCGATGGAATCATATTTTTAAATAAATAATTATATATATATATATGTGTGTGTGTGGACTAACCCATTGCTTTCAATTAATGAGGGTCGTTTAGCTAAGTTCTTAGAACTGAACAACCAGACTACCCACACATATGATATGATTTGATTATAGTGGTCAAAGCATGTGCAGAGCCAACCACACTTTTGTAAGAACATTATTGGTGCACATAGTGTGTTACAATGTCTCCAAATGACCCTCCTCAGATTTTGACCTGCACTTTGAATGCACATGTGAGAAACAGTTGTATGGCAGGAATAAATATATAAACAACCATCAAAGAAAGTAAGAATGTAAGGTCTCCTACATTGCAGCCAAGAATGTAAGGACCACATTTCAGTTGAGGAACTTAGGGCCACTCAAAGATACTGGCCAACATTAATTAATAATGAAAATATGTTAGAGTAAGTTGTATATTATAAATTACAATGGATGATGACACTTCATTTATATATATATATATATATATATATATATATATATATATATATATATATATAAATGAGACAAAAAGAAAGAACAGTACCATTTACTTTTAAAAAAGTGCTCGATACAAAGTAGATTAATATATTATTATCATTTTTATTATAATTTTTATTAATCATTTAATCAACAGTTACTTACCATCACCTGAAGAAGAACAATCATAGTATTG